AGGAACACAGAACTGCAGTGTTGGCCTCCGCCGGGGAAACAGCTTCAAGCAGAGTGGTCCCTCAGGCTCAGTGCCTGCCCCGTCACCTGAGAGACCCTCTGAGGGCAAAGTCTGGTCTCAGGCCCATCAGCAGGTGAAGCCAATCTGGAAGCTGGAGAGGAAGCACGTGGGGACACTGTCAGCAGGGTTGGGCCCAGCCGTCTTGGGTGTCCCGCCCCAGCCAGCCTATTTCCTCTGCCCCGGCACTCTATGTAGCTCTGGGAACACCACCGTCATTGCGGGCCCCAGCAACTCCTGTTCCCTGCACTCTCTCCCGGACTTGTTTGGCGGTACCCTGCTCTACCGCCGCTCCAACTACAGGCACAAACCGTACCACCAGCTGGAATCGTTCTGCTTGCGTTCTAGCCCATCAGAGAAAAGACCTTTCTCTCTTCCTCAGAAGAGCCTCCCTATCTGTCTCACTGCCAATAAGGCCACTTCTTCCACGGTCTTCCCCATGGCCCAGCCCATGGCATCCTCCTCCTCCTCCTCAGATCCATACCTCTCACTGGCAGCAGCTGGGGAGAACCCTTCGGGGAAGAGCCTCGCCTCTGCCATCTCAGGGAAGATCCCGTCTCCACTGTCCTCCCCCTACAAGCCCATGCTGAACAACAACGCCTTCATGCGGCCAAATAGCACTAAAGTGCCTTTCTCGCAGGTCACTGAGGGCCCGAAGCCACTGTCCTCAGTCAAGGCCCACCCCCTCTCCTGGCACCATTCTGGGGGTACTGGAGACGGTGCACCTCAGCCTGGTGACCACAAGGTGCCCCAGAACACTGGTACTGTCCTGGATGATGCCACTGCCCAAATCACCCTGTCTACACCCCGGTCCCTCAGCACAGCCACCACCAGTGTTGCCTCCCCCCAGTACAACCGGAATAACGTAGCTGTGGGGGCAGAGCCATATGCCTGCGGCCTGGCCGACAGCTCCAACTTCCAGGCTCCGACTAAGGAGGTTCGGTTCACCGAGGCTGTGAGGAAGCTGACCACTAGAGGCTTCGAGAAGGGGCCGAGGCCAGGCTACCAGTTTGAGCAGTCTTGTTTCAGGAAGCCTAGCTTCCAGTGGAACGTCCTGAACAGGAGCAGGCGGTGGAGACCTCCTGTGGTAGGCCAGCAGCTTCCTCCGGGGGATGCTGGGCCAGCCGGTCGGGTGTTCCCTGGTGCCTCAGACACCGTGGAGTTGGACGGTACTGTCTTCTGTACCAAACGTATCAGCATTCACCTCCTTGCCTCACATGCCGGTGGGCTCGACCACAGCCCTGCCTGTGGACCTGTGATTGACCCCTCGCCCCTCGGAGAAGATAAACCTCCAGTCCTCCCTTCGACCCCTCGACCCTTTGGAGTAGCTGATGTGGCTCCCCGCCTCTCTTCCATCCATCTGGGCCAGCCTGGGAAGGAGGGGCCTGAGGAAGCCAGGGAGCTGGACTCGTCCGCAGGGGATAACGGGTAAGCTGGAGAACGCTTTGGTTCCCTCAGATCGCCAGAATATACGTGTGTACTGTGATCTGATGGCATGGGCTCTGTCTCTCTCTGAAGGTGGTTTTACTTTTTAGCTGTCCTGGAATTTTTGGTTTTCACTTTAGGGCGGAAGTTGGAAAGCTATAGCTGGCAGGCCAACTTCTGCTTGTTGCCTGTTTTAATAATGAACGGTTTACTGGGATGCAGGCTTGTCCATTCATTTCCTGTCCGTGGTGGTGTTTTGTTACAGTGGTAAAGCTGGGTAGTTGAGACAGACTGAATGTTCCGTAAAACTAGAAACAGTTACTGTGTAGTCTCTTAAAGAACAGGATTGCTAACCCGTGTCTTAGGTTATAACCAGGGGAGAAATAAGAATTCTGAACCCCGGGGCCGGCGGGTGGTGTGGTGGTTAGGGACGTTGGACTCCCACATGTCCGACCGCAGTTCAAGTCCTGGATCCGGCAGCTCGTTTTCGCGCTGTCTCTCCCTTGCTCTTACTCTCACCCTGTCCCTCGCAGGTCAAATGTAAACAAACGAACAAATAAAGATAAATGAAATAATTCTTAAAAAAAAAAAAAAGAGGAACTAGCAGTTAGTGTAATGGCTGTGTCGCTAGACTCCTACGTAGTCTACCGCAGTTCGTGTCCCAGACCCGGTGGCTTAAAACTCACACCGGGCGCGTGTGCGTGCATGCCCAAGATCCCGAGAAGAGAATAAGGAATTCCGAACACCAAGTGACTTTGCTCCGTATTCCAAACCAAATCACGTTTCCAGTAACTCCCAGCCTTTCAGGGCCAAGGCACATACAGAGTTGTTTGCTTTTTTGTGCTTTGTTACATTTCTGGAATCTTAGTCCACTAAGGCCTTGCTCTGAGTTCCAGAGAACCGCCTTGGTATATTAGAAGTCAGTTACCAGATGTTCATTGATTGCGTCTCCTTCTTTTTATTTTTCTTAAGAATTATTTTATTCAGTCTTATGTATTCATTCATTTATTTTAATTTGATCAGAAAGAAAGACAGAGAGAGAAGAAAGTGAGAAAGCAAGCCACCAAGTCCGGGACTCGACCCATGGTTGATTATGTGGGAGTGTCCAGCACCTTAACCACCACGCCGCCTGCTGGTCCCCCCACCGATTGTTTCTTATATGCAGAATTTTGCACTTGTATGTTCTAAGGCAACAGTCCCCAACCTTTTTGGTACCAGTTTTGTGGAAGACAACTTTTCCATGGACCAGGGGTGGGGGAGATGGTTTATGAGAATGCACAACCTAGATCCCTCACATGCACAGTTCACAACAGGGTTCATGAGCATCTTTTTTTTTTTTTAAGTTTATTTATTATGATGATGATGATGATGATTTAAATTTGACCAGAGAGTAAGAAAGAAGGAGAGAGAAAGAAAGTGAGAAAGCAAGCTGCCAGGTCCAGGACTCGAACCATGGTAGGCCACCTGCCAGCCCCCCACACTTTTTTTTTAAATTATTGTACTTGCCTATGAGAATCTTAACGCTGCTGCTGGTCTGACAGGAGGCAGTGCCAGCCATGGGGAATGGCTGTAAATACAGATGAAGCTTTGTGGGCTGCCGCTCAGCTCCTGCTGTGTGGCCTGATTCCTAACAGGCTGGGGACCCCTGCTCTAAGAGCCAGAATATACGTGTGTACTGTGATCTGATGGCATGGGCTCTGTCTCTCTCTGAAGGTGGTTTTACTTTTTAGCTGTCCTGGAATTTTTGGTTTTCACTTTAGGGCGGAAGTTGGAAAGCTATAGCTGGCAGGCCAACTTCTGCTTGTTGCCTGTTTTAATAATGAACGGTTTACTGGGATGCAGGCTTGTCCATTCATTTCCTGTCCGTGGTGGTGTTTTGTTACAGTGGTAAAGCTGGGTAGTTGAGACAGACTGAATGTTCCGTAAAACTAGAAACAGTTACTGTGTAGTCTCTTAAAGAACAGGATTGCTAACCCGTGTCTTAGGTTATAACCAGGGGAGAAATAAGAATTCTGAACCCCGGGGCCGGCGGGTGGTGTGGTGGTTAGGGACGTTGGACTCCCACATGTCCGACCGCAGTTCAAGTCCTGGATCCGGCAGCTCGTTTTCGCGCTGTCTCTCCCTTGCTCTTACTCTCACCCTGTCCCTCGCAGGTCAAATGTAAACAAACGAACAAATAAAGATAAATGAAATAATTCTTAAAAAAAAAAAAAAGAGGAACTAGCAGTTAGTGTAATGGCTGTGTCGCTAGACTCCTACGTAGTCTACCGCAGTTCGTGTCCCAGACCCGGTGGCTTAAAACTCACACCGGGCGCGTGTGCGTGCATGCCCAAGATCCCGAGAAGAGAATAAGGAATTCCGAACACCAAGTGACTTTGCTCCGTATTCCAAACCAAATCACGTTTCCAGTAACTCCCAGCCTTTCAGGGCCAAGGCACATACAGAGTTGTTTGCTTTTTTGTGCTTTGTTACATTTCTGGAATCTTAGTCCACTAAGGCCTTGCTCTGAGTTCCAGAGAACCGCCTTGGTATATTAGAAGTCAGTTACCAGATGTTCATTGATTGCGTCTCCTTCTTTTTATTTTTCTTAAGAATTATTTTATTCAGTCTTATGTATTCATTCATTTATTTTAATTTGATCAGAAAGAAAGACAGAGAGAGAAGAAAGTGAGAAAGCAAGCCACCAAGTCCGGGACTCGAACCATGGTTGATCATGTGGGAGTGTCCAGCACCTTAACCACCACGCCGCCTGCTGGTCCCCCCACCGATTGTTTCTTATATGCAGAATTTTGCACTTGTATGTTCTAAGGCAACAGTCCCCAACCTTTTTGGTACCAGTTTTGTGGAAGACAACTTTTCCATGGACCAGGGGTGGGGGAGATGGTTTATGAGAATGCACAACCTAGATCCCTCACATGCACAGTTCACAACAGGGTTCATGAGCATCTTTTTTTTTTTTTAAGTTTATTTATTATGATGATGATGATGATGATTTAAATTTGACCAGAGAGTAAGAAAGAAGGAGAGAGAAAGAAAGTGAGAAAGCAAGCTGCCAGGTCCAGGACTCGAACCATGGTAGGCCACCTGCCAGCCCCCCACACTTTTTTTTTAAATTATTGTACTTGCCTATGAGAATCTTAACGCTGCTGCTGGTCTGACAGGAGGCAGTGCCAGCCATGGGGAATGGCTGTAAATACAGATGAAGCTTTGTGGGCTGCCGCTCAGCTCCTGCTGTGTGGCCTGATTCCTAACAGGCTGGGGACCCCTGCTCTAAGAGATCACAAAGAAAATGGAAGACAGTGCCTCTGTGCAGAATGGGGGGGTGTAAGGTTGAGGAACGATGGCTAGACCTAAGTTTCGAGGGCAAGAGAAATGAGTTGTGAAGTTCAGACAAGGGAGCAGATTGGTGGGGACGGACACATATTGGGAGGTGATGCAGAAGTGAGAACCTAAGTGCGTCCTGTCTTATGGAGCTGGCTGAACTGGAGAGTGGATTCTTTCTTTTAGTTCAGCTACTGACGTCCAGCCAGATCAGGCTGAGGCCGAAGATGTAGAAGAAGAACTAGTGGATGGTTTGGAAGACTGCTGCAGCCACGATGAGAACGAAGATGAGGAGGGTGAGTGGAAGACTGTGCACCTGCAGCCAAGGGTGGACATGGAGGGCCAGGGAAGGGGGCTACAGTTGTGGAGCAGGCACTTGACTCATATTAGCGCCTACATTGAGCATTTGCATCGGGGGTCTTAACGGGGAGAGGGGGCTCCTCCGGCCTCACCAGTCTTGCCTTTTGCCCTGCTGCCGTCCAGCTCAAGAAAGGCAGTGCAGGCAGCAGGGTGGTGCCGTGGCTTCCCTAAAAGGGCCGAGGCCAGGATATTCAAAGAACTGCCTAGGCCTGGCGAGCGTGTGTGGCAGCTTCTTCCACTCGTACTCTTCTGTCCTTCCTCCCCCAGGCGACTCGGAGTGCTCCTCCCTAAGTGCCATCTCCCCCAGCGAGTCAGTGGCAGCAATCTCTCGGTGAGTGTGGGCTCTGTGGATCGTTGGTAGATGCTCATTTTCTGTCTCTTCGGTGTTACTGAGAGATTAATCACCCAAGTCATCAGCAGTCCTGAGAACCATAATTCATTTTCACTAGGTTTTTGTGTGGGATGTGAGCTTTTGAATAGGGAGCAATGTAGGACCAGAAGCCTATCTTGTCAGTTAGGCTTAAAAGCACCCTGGGGGGACCAGCAGATGGTGGAGTCGTTACATCACGGTACTCTCACATGGCCACCTGGAGTCCTGGACCTGGTGACTTCAAAATCACTCTGTGTGCATGTACATGTGTGCCCAAGATCCCAGGAGGAGAATGGAGAAGGGACTGTGGCGTGGCCATCCTCTCTGGGGGGTGATATCTCACTGTCTCTGTCTCCCTCTCTGGCAAGTGCACATGCCCTAAGGCAAAAACCTCTAAAAACGTTTAAAATAAGATAGCATCCTGGGGGCTAGTAGGTGTTGTCTGTTAGGTGCTGAATCTCACATGTGTGTGTACAACCCTAAAATCCCGAGAGGAGACTGGAGGAGAGGGGATTATGATGTGGCCATCCCCCTTGGGGAGTGACTTCTCAATTTCTCTCTCTCTAGTGAGTGTACGTGCCCTATAGCAAAAATTAAAAACAAAAACAAAAACAAAATTACCCTGGTTCTTAGGCTGCAATTTGGTCTTCGGCTCTTAGAAATTGTTTGAGTAAAAGGCAGATCATTTCAAGAAGTGCTTTAAAAAGTAATGACCAGTGGGACCAGCAGTTAATGTGATGGCTATGTCACTGGACTTCCATGTAGCCGACCACGGTTCGAGTCCTGGACCTGGTGGCTTAAACTCACACCGGGCACGTGTGCGTGCATGCCCAAGATCCCGAGAGGAGAATGGAGGAGAAGGGATTGTGGCCATCCCCCCGGGGAGTGATTTCTCGCTTTCTGTCTCTCTTTCTGGCAAGCGCACGCACCCTATAGCAAAAACCTCTCCAGAAAAAGAAAAAGGGGGGGAAAAAAGTAATGAGCAGTTATTTTAGAAACTATGTTCGAGGTTATTTTGTAGTTCCTTAGACCCCCCTCCCCCCCACACACACACAAGGGTACTTTCCACGTTACATGATATTTTGTATCCCACTATCAGACACAGTTCTGAAGTAGATAGATTTATACCAACTGGGGCCTTTTAAAAAAATTAAATTGGGACCAGCAGTTAGTGTAATGGTTATGTCGCTGGACTCCCACATAGTTGACCGCGGTTCGAGTCCTGGACCTGGTGGCTTAAACTCACACCGGGTGCATGTGTGTGCGTGCCCAGGATCCTGAGAGAATAGAGGAGAAGGGATTACAGCATGGCCATCCTCCCTGGGGGGGTGATTTCTCGCTTTCTGTCTCTCTGTCTCTCTCCGTCTTTCTGGCGAGCGCTCACTCCCTATAGCAAAAACTTCTCCAAAACGAAAGAATATTAATTAATTAAATTTTTTAAGAGACTAGCAGATGGCATAATGGCTATATTGCTAGACTCTCATGTAGTCAATGGCAGTTTGAGTCCTGGACCTGGTGGCTTAAACTCACACCGGGTGCATGTGTGTGCGTGCCCAGGATCCTGAGAGAATAGAGGAGAAGGGATTACAGCATGGCCATCCTCCCTGGGGGGGTGATTTCTCGCTTTCTGTCTCTCTGTCTTTCTGGCGGGCACACGTGCCCTATAGCCAAAATTTCTCCAAAAAAAATATTTTTTAAGAATTATTTTATCTAACTTTATTTATTTATTTAAATTTGACCAGAGAAGGGCAGAGCAGGGTGGGGAGGGAGAAGTGTGAAAGCAAGCTGCCAGGTACGGGACTCAAACCACAGTTGACCATGTGAGAGTCCAGTGTCCTTAACTACCGAACCACCTGCTGGCCTCCAACTTGGGCTTTTTTAAATGGTCTTTTGCTCCCTTCTGAGAGTACTTTTATTTTTTTTGCTCTAGGGAGTGTGCACTCACCAGAGAGAGACAGAAAGAAAATGAGAAATCACTTCCTGGGGGAGATGACCCTGGTACAATCCCTTCTCCATTCTCCTCTGGGGATTTTGGGCATGCACGCTCATGTGCTGAGTGTGATTTTCAAGCTGCCGGGTCTGGGACTCTAACTGGAATCTGCCATGTAGAATCCAGCCACCTTAATCTCCACACCACTTGTTGGCGCCCGAGAATGCTTTTATATTGGGAAATAGGACTGACATTGAGTGTTAACAGTGGGAAATGGAATAAAAAGTCCCCTAGCTTTAATTCAGATTATTTTATCAACTGCCTCTGATGGAGCCTGAGTGATGCTCATCTCTAATTAGGGAGCCAGCAGAGTAAATCTGTTAATGTCCGCCCTTCTGTAAACGGGTCATTGTGGGATGCTGCACAGCAGAAATGGGGAGTGGGGAGGGAGGACAGAAAGCAGGAGTGTGGAAAAGTTACCATAAATGAGGGCATGCCAAATACTTTTTGTTCCCCCCAGAGAGAGAGAGAAAGAGAAATCGCCCCTCCAGGAGAGATGGCATTGCCACAAGCCCGTCTCCATTCTCTTCTCGGGGTTTTGGGCACACAAGCAGACATGCCTGACGTGATTGTTAAGTTGCCTAGTCAGTCACGTGGGATCCAGTGCCTTAGCCACCATGGCACTTGCGGGCCCAAGATTTTAAAAATTTAATATCCAGAGGAATGCATGAGTTTGGATTCACAGCATGCTCGTTCCCCTGGGCCTCTCACAGTGCCCTATGCCAGAGCAAAATGGCTTTGAACCATTGCCTAACCTGCCCAAGGGCTGCTGACCCGGAAGCAGGTTGCTCAGTGAAAAAGAAGAAGAAAAAAATCCAGAGGGTACTTGTGTTCATGAGAGAGAAAGAGAGGGAGAGAAAGACAGAGAGAAAGCACCCACCAATGGAGCCCCAATCCCTTCACCTTCACTTCCCCATCCTGTTGGGGCTTGGCGTACATATGCATCTGGTATGTTTCTTAAGCCTCTGGGGCTGGGATTCAAACAATTATCAGCCATGTGGGATCTGGCTCCCTTACTCACCAGGCTATAGGGCTGCCCTTGTGCTGGTTTTTTTTTGTGTGTGTGCTCACCAGAAAGACAGACAGAGACAGAGATAGAAAGCGAGAAATCACCCCCCTGGGGGATGGCCACGCCACAATCCCTTTTCCATTCTCCTCTTGGAATCTTGGGCGCACACACACACACACACACATGCACCCAGTGTGAATTTAAGCTACTGGGTCCGGGACTCTAACCGCGGTCCACTACACGGGAGTCCAGTGACATAGCCATTATGCCAACTGCTGGTCCCTATGCTGGGGATTTTTACGACTTACTGAAGAATCATTCTTCAACAGCATCTTCTTTGTTCCTCTTGCCACTTTGGACCTTACTCAGTACGAGATTTTTTTCCTTCATTAATTATGTTATTTTATTTATTTTTTAAAATTTTTACAGAATTATTTAATTTTTAAATTCATTGTCATTATTTCATTTTATTTTTTTGAAATTGACCAGAGAGAGAGAAAGAAAGTGAAAAAGCAAGCTGCCAGGTCCGGCCCTCGAACCACAGTCAGCCATGTGGGAGTCCAGTTGCCTTAACTACCACGTCACCTACTGGCCCCTATATTGTTTTATTAAATATTAATGAGAATCCCTGGGTTAGCCCAGGGCTGGATGCTTAAGGCAGCTGGATCCCACATGGCTGACTGCCAGTTCAAGTTCTGGGCCTGGCAACTTGAAAAAACCCACCCCAGGTGTGTGTGCATGCTTTCCCCAAATCCTGAAGTAAAGTAGAAATGGAGGAGAAGGGATGTGTTGTCACTGTTCCTCATAGTAGGTGCTTTCTCCGTTTTTTTTTTTTTGAGAGCTTTTTGCTATAGGGCGCGTGTGCTCGCCAGACAGACAGAGAGAGACAAAGAGACAGAAAGCGAGAAATCATCCCCCAGGGGGGATGGTCACGCCGCAATCCCTTCTCCTCCATTCTCCTCTCGGGATCCTGGGCACTCACGCACACGCACCCGGCATGAGTTTTAAGCCACCGGGTCTGGGACGCGAACCGTGGTCGACTACGTGGGAGTCCAACCACATAGCCATTACGCTAACTGCTGGTTCCCAGCTTTCTCCTTTACCCTCTCTCTCTGTCTGTCTTGTCTCTGGTGAGTACAAGTACCTTCTTGCAAAAAGTTAAAAAGAAAAAAAAAGAAAAAAATCCCTCTAAAATATTAAACATTAAAATTTTTCTCTTTTAAAAAATCATTTCTAATATAAAACAAAATAAAAGAATAGAAAATTGGAGTTTTGTTTTAATGCATCATTTTTACTTTAATTCAGTTCAATTTGTTTTATTTTATTTATTTATTTTTTTAAAGAGAGTTTTGCTATAGGGCAAGTGTACTCATTGGAGACACAGAAAGTAAGAAATCACCCCCCAGAGATGGCCACACCACAGTCCCTTCTCCTCCATTCTCCTCTCGGGATCCTGGGCACTCACGCACACGCACCCGGCATGAGTTTTAAGCTGCCAGGTCTAGGACTTGAACCGCAAGTCCAATTACATGGGTGTCCAGTGACATAACAATTATGCCATCTGCTGGTCCCTCAATTTATTTTATTTTTTAAAAATTGCCAGAGCGTGTGTATACTTGCCAGAGAAGAATAGAAATTGGGAGAGAAAAATAAAGGACCCCCCAACAGGATGTGGTCACACCTCCAATGCTTCTCAGTTTCTCTATCCCTCAGGGATTTTTGGGCTCAGGCACACAACTGCCCAGTGTTCAACCTCGTGGGATCCAGCTCCCTTAACCACTACACTGTAGGGCTGGCCCACTGTTTTATTTTTATTTTTTATTTTTTTGTAGACTAGAGTGGTTGTGCTATCCAGACAGAGAGGGAAGGAAAATGAGAAAGCACCCCCAAGGAGGGCTGGCCACACTGCAGTCCCTACTCCTCTATTCTCCTCTCAGGATTTGGGGCGCGCACGCTCACATACCAGCATGTTTTTTCAGCTGCCAGATCTGGGATTTCAGGCCACGTGGGATCCAGCCATCTTAACCAGCACACCACCTGGCTGGCCCTTCTTAAATTAGAATCAAGCTCTGTATGCCAGGGCTTGCCCAACCTGTAGAGTACCCAGACTGTGGTTGACTTTATTTTTTTCTTTTGATGTCAAGCCCTGCCTTAGTTGGGGCTAAGAGGAAGAGGAACTTTGCATGCCTTGGTTGGTGTGGACGGTGGACAGGGCAAGCTGCTTTTCCTTGCTGTGCCACATGTTTGTTTCTCATTGCAGGAACTGCACGGAGATTCTGACCAAACCCCTCTCCAATCATGAAAAAGTAGTCCGACCAGCCCTCATCTACAGTCTCTTCCCCAACGTGCCCCCTACCATCTATTTCGGCACGCGGGATGAGAGAGGTAAACTTGGCCAAGTGTCAAAGCCCCCAAGAGCCCCCAGGAAAAGGAAGCTAGCTCATTTGGGAGGAGGTAGCTGTGGGTAGGAGAGCGTTTCTGGGATGGCTGTTACAGGGCTTGTCACACTGCTCTGTTCCCCACCTGCTTGTCTCCAAAGCAGAGACTTTTCTTGTCATTTAGCTGACCCTTCTCAGCCCCCCTCATTCGTGCTTAGTCGGTGCCCTCTGACCTTGATTCCTTCCCCTTTCAACCCCTGTCCTTGCTTCGCTCCTCCTTCCGGCACAGCCCCCCTTCTTTCCCAAAGCGCTCCTCTGAACCCCTGATCTGGAGCAGTAGTTAGTGGCTTGCCCACCCGAGAAGGATGGACAGCAGCACCACCGCTCTCGTCTTCTCACTGTGACTCCTGCTCTCCTCCCTCTCATCCCACCCCTGCCGCCCTCATCCTTCCTCACCCCTGCCTTTCACCAGTGGAGAAACTTCCCTGGGAACAGAGGAAGCTGCTGCGGTGGAAGATGAGCACGGTGACCCCCAACATCGTTAAGCAGACCATAGGACGGTCCCACTTTAAAATCAGCAAGAGTGAGTCACTTGCTTCCTTGGGAGCTCCTGTCCTCTTTGCCCCAACAGATGGACTTTGGGTAAGAGGAGGGCCCTAGATACCTCCTGCTCTGGGGTGGCAGCCAGGGACCCTGTCCTGAGATTTCCTCATGGGGGGCAAAGCTTGGAAGCCCGCTGGGGGCTATTGCTCGGAATTGGGAGACAGAGGGCTCTTGTCCGACCCTGGGCCCCAGGACCTCACATAGGACAGCTCCATGACAACACTTAGAAAACCAAGTCTGGGAGCTGTGCCCGGGCCCAGTGGATCTCTGGGGCCTCTGGGCTTCTGTCCCAGGAACGGGACTGCTAGCAGGGCTGCCTCCCGATGCGCCTTCTTCAGGAAATGATGACTGGCTGGGCTGCTGGGGTCACCACATGAAGTCTGCTAGTTTCCGATCCATCCGGGAGCATCAGAAGGTAGGCCTTTCAGAAGAGCCGTTTCCCCTGGACTTGGGACTAAACCAGGAGGAGGGTGGGAGGAGGGGTGGGGGGGGTGCAGGAAAAGGAGGGTGACCATGGCGAGGTCAGGAAGGCTCTCACCTCCTGCTCACCTGCAGGGAGTCGCAGCCTCTCAGAGACACGGTTTCCACTAATGTCTCTCACGGTGCACTGTCTGCAGTGTATGTAGTTCCCCCGTAATCACTGCACATGTCCCCAAGCCGAGCATGTGTAAGGCGGACTCCTGGTCCCATGTTGGAAGGGATGAATCTCTTCCCTCCAGACTTAATAAAGGCCAGGAACTTTCCTGTCCTTGTCCCACGGAAAAAGATTTAACAGCTTTTCTTTTGCACTCAAGGCAAAAGAAGTTTTTACCTTAGGGTGTGTACACTTGCCAGAGAGAGAGAGAGACAGTGAGAAGGAAAGCGAAAAAGAGAAATCACCCGATGGTGGGGGATAGCCTTGCTGCAATCCCTTCTCCATTCTCCTCCCAGGATCTTGGGCACACCTGCACATGCACCCAGCATGAGCTTCTGGGTCCGGGACTTGAACCACAGCCGGCCATGTGGGAGTTTAGCGATGTAACTGTTCTGCCATCTGCTGGTCCCGAATGTCCTATCTGTCTTGATCACTGTTGAGTTCGGCTAGTGTTCTGGTCCTCTTTTAAGTGCCTGCAGTTGGATACTGAAGGACCACGGGGAGGTGATGATACCGTGGAACAGGAGCTGGACTGTTGCTCAGGAAGTTGAACAGTGAGTCTCGTTACCTTCCTCATGGTCTTGCCTCTGCCCTCTCTTCTCTTCTGTAGCTAAACCACTTCCCAGGCTCATTCCAGATTGGGAGGAAGGACCGGCTGTGGCGGAACCTGTCCCGCATGCAGAGCCGCTTCGGCAAGAAGGAATTCAGTTTCTTCCCCCAGTCCTTCATCCTGCCCCAGGACGCCAAGCTCCTGCGCAAAGCATGGGAGAGCAGCAGCCGCCAGAAGTGGATCGTTAAGCCAGTGAGTGGGTGGCGGTGGGCAGCAGGTCATGGTCTGAGAGACTCGGGCCGGAGAAGATCTCAGCCCCTTTGCACTTGCCTTCTAGCCAGCGTCAGCACGAGGCATTGGCATCCAGGTCATTCACAAGTGGAGTCAGCTCCCCAAGCGAAGGCCCCTCCTGGTACAGAGGTGAGCCTCTCTCCAGCTCACAGCCCTCACCTCATCTCCTCCCCTCAGCCGCAGGGCTCCCTCCTTACAGAGTGCTGCTGCCCTCTGCTCCCCAACGCCAAAGGCCTTCCTCACCGGCTGCTCTAAGGGCTTTACCCTGGACTGTCAGCTGACCTCGTGGCTCATGGCCCACCCAGCCCTGTCTCGTCTGGCAGATGAGAAGCTGCCTTTCCCCTGTGTAGGTATCTGCACAAACCCTACCTCATCAGCGGCAGCAAGTTCGATCTGCGGATCTATGTTTACGTCACTTCCTACGATCCTCTGCGGATTTACCTCTTCTCAGACGGCCTCGTCCGCTTTGCCAGTTGCAAGTATGTGATAGTGGTGAGGTGCCACCCTAACGGCGTGGGGGGTTTATCGCCAAACGCGGAGGGAAGCTAGAGGACACCAAGCAGGAAAAAATAACAGCTGTTTTGGTAGGTTTTGTTAGCAAGGGCGGGCACTGGGAAGTAATATAGATAAGGAGGTTCCGAACGTCGCCGAATCCAGGGAGACTTCCAGCAGGTGATGTGGGATAAAGGTGGGGTTAGCCATGCTTGCCCACTGTTGTACTTCCTAGGCCCCATGACTTGGAAAAGATCTGTCCTCTTCTCCTTTTTCTCCTCAGGATTCGGGGACGGATGTGGCCCATTCTCCATCTGCTATCTCACCACATCCATTCTGTCTTTTTTGTCCTCACTTCCAGATATTCCCCTTCCATGAAGAGCCTCAGCAACAAGTTCATGCACTTGACCAACTACAGCGTCAATA